ACACGAGTCTCAATAAAAAATACAACTTTTTGTGTACGGGACTCCTGCGGGACTTTTTGTGGAGTCCCGTAGGATTCCCTATGGATTTTTTGAGAAAAAAACTCTCGAGGGAGTCCGGCGGGAATCCCTCGGGACTCCCGCGGGAGTTTTTTACAAAACGGGACTCGCGCGGGACTTCTACCGGGACTCTCGACTAGGGGTGACTCACATCGATCTTACTCATGTAAAATCACTATCATACCCAAACTGACTTTCACAGAAGTGAAATTTTAACGTATGTCTGATGTACAATCGCGAAGGAACTTATTGTATATTCATTTCTATTCGATTTTTGAACCATTGTTACCATTCGATGTGCTGCTTGTCTTACATACCTCGACAACAGCCTCTATCTAAAATGATAGATCTTTTCGCTTAACTAGTTATGCAGTATTTAACGACGTTCTATAACAAACTGAGTGTACTTCATCTCAATTCGTAATCGTTATTTCGAACATTATTCTAGAATTCTTTTCTCCAATTAAAAAATCACCGTTTATATAAAAACATGGCAGCATCTCTGTTTGGTTAAAACTATTGAGTTATCATCCGTTAGGAAAAAGAAAAATAACTGCAAGAGAAAGATGCTATATGCCCTTTGAGATATGTATCACTAAAATTAAGACTGTATCGATTTCCAAATGCTGAAGGTGAATGCACATATTCCTGCGATCTGAGATCTTAAGTTTACTTAACAATAACCAAAGTGAGAGTTTTTAACGATTAGTCGAATGAAAAGTTAGTGATGTTTTTTAGCCATGATTAGATGTGTCTCCTTATATTTTAGATCCATTGCTGAAGGTGCTTCTTAAATATGTCCAAACGCACATTTATGTCACAGGACAATTCCGGTTTATGTAGTCTATTTGGCATTAAATCAACACTATTGATCATGAGTTTACTATTGATGGTACGTAGCGAGTATCCTTAACATCTAATGAATGTACATGCGCCCAAGCATCTGTGATAAGTACGTCTCTTGCGTACTGAGTTTTGTACTTGCTTGTTCTCGACTGGTAAATTTACTTGTAAGTGTTTGCTTCACTTTCAAGTACTTGATTTTTCACTTAACAACTACTCTCGCAAACTACTTCGTTACAATAGAGCCAAGTATTGTAATATGAAGAAGTACCTGTTAAAAAGTACATGGCAAATGAGTGATTTTGAAAATACTTGTCAAATAATCAAGTACGTCCACTAGGCCAGAGCGATGTTTGCACTAATCTCATTTGAGCAATTGTGGTTATGAGATACACTACACGAAAATTATAGTTTTTTTAGTTTTCAGTAGTTTTTTTGAATTATTTGAATTCCAAATGATGTTTTATGGCTATGGATCAGGTTACCTTGAAAGAAATGCACGATTAAGAATGAAAGATTAAGTAATACAAGGAAATCGTTTCGGTAACTTATAGTTTATATCATCCTGAGGAGAAAAAGGAAAAGAAAACTGTTATTCAAGAAGAATTTTATAGAAAATAGAAATCGATGCTTAACAACTATTCTCGATAAATGTTGTTATCATCATTTCGTACGATATTTACGTTTAATTAGAATATCTTTTTTACGATTGTTTATTCAAACATTATAAAACGTTTTCGTGAAGAATATATCTCTTTATAATTCTTTACTTAGGTTTTAACTGGTTTCTTATCATATCTGTGCGGTTGGACATTAGTATTCAAATTAAAATATTCTCTTCTGTCTTCGTTATCGTCGATTTATTCGCTCTCCGCTTATATTCTTATTATTTGCTCATTATTAACAACAATAGCTATTTTCTGCGTATTTATCACGGCGTGGATCGAACATCGACAAGGACTAAGATTGGTAAGAGTCAACATCTATGATTTCCACATGCTGATATTTTTCAGCAAAGAAAAATGAAATTATTAATTCTGACCGGCTACATGTCATTTGATATGACAGGTTTACTTAGATAGTGAGTTTCAAGTACTTCAGAAAGCAAAAGCGTATACAATTTATCCGTGATTTATTGTTGTTGGATGATAGTTTTATGCCTTGCATTGGTTTTTTTTTCGTTTAGGCTTTGTTTACATTGGGAACCACATTTTTAATTGAACTGATTACTGCTCTTTTATCATTTATTTATACCGTCAATGTAAGTCAAAGATTCTCATAGAAAAATGTGCGTGCATGGCAGTTTTATCACAATGTTTCTAACCGTTTTTGATACAGTTATAGACGTTACTCTCTAAAAGTAAAACCTAATAAAAAACAATTTTTCTATGTCGATTTTAGTTATCTGATCGTTTATCATCGAATTTATTGTCATTAGTTCAATATAAATATCACGTTGATACACGAACTGAACAAGATTTTGATCAAATGCAAATCTATGTATATATTAAGATATCATCCTTTAACAACAATTCACCTATTTCTCTACTTTAGTTTCATTGTTGTGGATCTAAATCATTCAAAGATTGGTCATTATCATCTCGTTTCAATAATGTAAACAACACATCTTTTCTTGTGCCCGATAGTTGCTGTAAATCCTTTGAATATAAATGTGTACAAAAACCATTTGGTATACATCCATCGAATATCTACTATCAAGTACGTAGTGTGTCTTACCTATTTCATAAGAAATTCTTTATTTTGCGTGCATATTTTATTTGTTAAAAAATAAAATAACGGGTGGCCTATAAATAATGAACCTCTGAGTATTCTGCATATACTTTTATTTCTCTTCAATCCTTAGATCTGACTGTTTTTTTCCAAAAGATGCGCTGTCAAATCTAGGTCAAATCTGCGCTGTCCTTCTCTACAAGATTTGATCAAACTTATTTCTATAGAAAGTTAAGGAGAAAAATTAAACGAAAAATACTCTCAACATAATGAAACGGATCAACTTGCTAAGCTGAAAAAACGTTTTGTTCAACCGCTTCCATTGAGTTGGATGATAAAAAGAAGAGAATATACGCATTTTGTAGTCTTTGAAAAGTTCTATCAGCCAGTATTAGATGTACAAATACAAAATCAATCTTTGGGGCTTACATCGATTTTCTCCTCTTTGAGGCTGTGCAAAGTTCACCTATTTGAATGTGTACATTCGATGCTCCTGGAAAATGCGGCATAACGAAGCCAAAATCGCACCCTTTTAGCTCGATCTTTTTTTTTTCTTTTGATGAGAAGTAACACTTGTTGCAGATTTAACGCTGAAAGTTACCTTAAAGCTTTATTCATAAATTCACTTGCCGACCGATAGCAGATTTTGGTAACTTAGAGGTGAAATTTTGGAATGTTAGATTTGAACGAGCTGTGAACTGCATAAGGAGAAAGCGTGCACTTCAAAGTACTCAAAAATATCTTCACTGTTGTTTCATTGTCTTTAGATTTGCTGAAAATATTCTAAAATTTGTAAATC